ATTTCAATATCTAATAACTTAATTAAATAAGACAGAATTAAAATTTTATTTTGAAAAAATAATCTATTAATGTTTATATAAGGTATAAATCTTTTTATACTGATTCATATATAAGAAATTATAATATAAAAATAGAGTACTATAATAATAAAATTAATATTAATTAAATTAAGATAAATTACTTAGTCTTTTATTTATTATACTCTAATTAAAAAATTAATTCTTTTAATTATAAACTTTTTATAAAAAATGACTAATTTTTCTTTTCTTTAGTTATCTTCGAATCTTATATACAAGTAATAGATAAAATAATTCATAATTTTATTTATAATTTAGTTAATAAAGATTAAGTCAAATCCTGATTTATAATTTTTGGTTAGCTAAATCATTATTATATTATAGATAATTAGAAACCATCTTGTTGATTTGTTATAAATAGTTAGAAATCTTCTCAAAACGCTTTCTATAGTCTAGTATAAACTTTTTTGCTGCTGATAATCAGAAATCTCTATTAATTCTTACTTAAGTTAAATAACAAACATTATAAAAATCAATTTGTATAGAAGTTATTATGGAAAACGTTTAGAATAATAAAGAAATCCTTTAGTTATAAAACAATTCAGCCTTGCTCTTTTACTTATCTTACTGCAAATACTCTTCAAATTCATTTATTTCAGAAAGTGCATAATATTTTTGTACTCTCTCTGTGGATTATAGATCCACTCCACAAAAAATCTTCAAATTAACTGTATCGAATCAAAACAATGTCTGAATATTCATTTTGACAAGTGAATATTATTCTTTACTGATCAACTATTAACTCCCATCAACAATAATCACACGAGTTGTTCGTTGCTATTGTTCATATTATTTCCATCTGAAGAAGAAATTGTCACATCCTTCTTTCAATATTTGTACTTGTTGCCAGCTAAATTTCATATCAGTATTATTACATAGCTCTTTTGAAAAATAATAAATGCAAGGGTAATGCTTCGCCAGAACTGTTAGGTAACAGATTACAAAACTACTCAATATTATTATATTTAACAAATACTCTTCTGACACAGGATCAGAAGAAGTTAGTGATCTCTATGCTCGAATGGCATACTCACGTATTGGCCATCCTAAAAGTGATTGACTCCAGTAAAGATCTTGACATTAGCATCCGATTACAGCAATTCTACCTCCTTGATGAACTCCTCAAAAAGATTTCTGTTGCCTATCAACGCAAGAACGCCCATCTAATTACAATCCTCAACCAAGCAACGAAGACTTGATCCATCAGACATAAATTAGCAATTACGAAATGGTCCTTCCAAATCTTCATAGCCAGAATGTTATCACCGAGAACGAGTACTACCATCTAATCTCTAATGAGCTATATCTCAACAAGTGACCGGATATTAAACTTCTCCTGCGTAAAGAAAGGGTAAATTTTGCTGTAGCTCAAACTTCGGAGAGGGACAAAATGTTACCTGTAGCATGAAAGTTTCCCTAATTGCCATGATCCTTCCGATGTGACCATTCGATAAGCAGAGTCAGAGTCGTATTAGACATCTATAAAGGAGTGCGACCTACATTACCAAATAATATTTCTGGATGGTGCAAATTTATTATTGAAAAAGGTTGGGTCCTATTCCAGAAAATAGACCAACTGCTGGTGAACTTTGTCACTTTATTTGGCCTTTTTGATGTCTAAAAAAATGGTAATCGGAAACTGAACACCTAGCATTTCAATACTATAGTTTCTAGAATATCCTAAAATCAAAAAATGTCTTGCATTAGAAAGGCAGAAATTATTGAACCTTGGAAAAACAATTTCACGAAAAAGCATTCCTATAATTAAGAAGGTTCTGAGAATGAAATCACAGAAAAACATTCCTAGAATGCAAATAAAAATCAAATCTGCTCAAATGCTGTTTACACCAGTCAATATTTACTTCAAAATTATTATTAATCTCGATTGATACAGGTACGAATGTTGTTTATATTCAACCAAGATGACATTTCAATTAATTTTAATATATCACAAGTGTCGGTTAGTTTTATCCAAATGAAGGTAAATTCACAGTTGATATTATTTTCATCAATATGTTTCTTTGATTAATTGAGATCATTATTTTTCTTTGCTGATAAAAAACAGATTTTGATATTAGCATACACACGAAATCGAAGATATTAACGATAGCTGATTTTCGAATCAAAAGTGGTTTCAATTTCTTGTTTTTACGCGTATATTCATCATTTTATTCATTACTCTTATCAAATTATATACATTTATAGTTTGTATAATCTCATATGTAAAGGAAATAAATGAATTTATTCTATTATTTATTACGAAGTAATCTAATTACTGTACCAAATGGTCAAAATAATGTGCCAAAAGGTCGGTTTACTGAACCAAGTAATCAGAATATTATACGAAAAATTGTTTCAAAACAATTTACATGTACATGTATTTAATACTGATGAGCTAACATAGAATTATTGAACAAAGTTCTGTATTAAGATAAGGAAAAATAAAAGTAATATTAAAATGTTCAAACAAGTCCAAATGTACTAATTGTTCTAATTTTGACGTTATTTGTTTTGAACTATTTTATTGTTATTATTATTATTAAAATATATTTTATTATTCCTTTGCTATTCTAGATGTCAGCCAGGGTTTCAAGACACTTAATGTTTGATGGAAACAATGCGCACTATATGCGTATTACATGTATATGTATAAACATAGCGATCACGTCCCTGTCCAAATGTCAATACTGATTTCTGGTACTATAATAAGGGGATGGGGTATATCAATTACATGTACATTTAAATGTTTATCTTCAATCTCATTTGCTGTAGCAACACGATATGCACCATGTGAATCAACAAGTTCAAATGGCCAAGAGGTTATTTCATAATCAGGATCTCCCTCTCTAAAAATAGCATTTGATATTATTCCAAAATTCAATAAGCTAAGCGGCAACAACCATTTCATATTTTTAGATGTGTAGATGAGCAACAGAATCAAAGAAATCAAAAAGATCATAGTTACTACGACAGTAAGTTCTATCCAGAGCCCTAGAGCTTCTGAGTTCACTATTTTATCAACAGAAACACTAACATTGTTCATTATAGATTGTATAGACGATGCCAATGCTTGTGATAACATACTGTCATATTCATCTAAAAAATTAAAATTGACTATGCTTTCTAGATCCCGGATAATATTTCTCCATTTATCATAGTTCTCCATTTTGTCGTAATTCTTAATAATTCAACGTTGATATTATTAGTTAAACTTTCTCCAATAATTTCTTTATCAATAGAATAATCTGGCACATTTTGAAGAAACAACTCGTTTAATTTTGCAATACTATTGTTAAAATTCGTTTCTTCCAATATTTTCGTTGTATCTGGCGTATTTCCGGATATTCGCATCTGTTTCCACTCTAAATGTGCTGAACAATTGAGTGATACCATGCACACGTGAGCATATCGCCAAGGATCTTTATGATATCCAGCATCTTCTAACGACTTAGCCATCTCTACAACGTCAGAAGAAAAATTAGGAGAAATGTAAAACATATTCATAGGTATGTCACAACTATCCTGTATCAAGGTATGTAAGTCTAAGGATGACATATTAGAAAAATCAATGTTTGCATTTATTAACACACTAGCCATACTATGATTATTGGTTGCACCCGCAAAATGTCCTGTATTGAGTTTCCCCCAAGTACTTGTTACATTCAAAAATACCGAAGAATTAATAAGTAGTCTTTCATCTGTGCCAATCGACATAATACAAGATGAGACATCAGTTTTTGCGCGTACGGCATACAAAAAATTGGTATCTCCTAAATTCCAATACGTTTTGCTTACATTATGCGTGTGCATAATATCTCGTATAGTCGTAAGATTCGATACCAATGCGAAGTTGTCCTTGAATTGAGAAGTGCATAATGTAAACATACAGTCTGAATCATTAAATAAGGAAATCTTATCAAACACAACTTCAGTAAACTCATATAATCCAATGATTTTAGAAAGCATCAAATTTGGTATATGTTTCCCTAAAATAATCGCCATGAATAATAGGAAAAGAAATATGGCGTGCTCTTGGATAATCTTTTGAGCCTGGGACGGAGTTCAAAGAAAAAATTAATCATAGATCCATGTGTGATTTCCATATACAATCTGAATTCACTGGCATTGATTCTTCGTTTTCTTTTATATAAGAATATCCAGACGAAAGAAAGCAACAGTGGAAGTAATGCTGCTTCTAATGCTGAAGTAAGAACCGTGACTAGCGTAAGCCAACCATTAATATGAGCAGCATTATCGTCTATTTTTAGAATATGCTTGCCTATATTCGCGGTTTTAATTTCCCACATAATGAAAAATAAATCAAAAAATTAGATTTTTATTCTCAGTAATCTAGTTAGTCTCGTTATTTATATATGTTTTCACGATCAACAGATATGCCTCCAAATTTAGGGATCTGATGTATAAACTTTCATAACTGAATCTGATTTTTTCAGCACAAATGGTTTCGTTTTAATTGATAAAATAATTTATATATTGAAAATTATAAGTCAACGATTAATCTGTTTGAATCAAACTTTCACACATACGAATAAGCATAATGTTTAGTTCAATGAGTTAAAATTTCTTTGCACATGTAATACCCGATAAAGGAAATTCTATTGAGGCTACATACCGATACAGAAAATATACATGTACTTTATCATAATGAAAAATTTTGAGTGGGCTATGAAATCCTCATTATAAACCGGATCCCTTGTTATAAAGGAGATTCACAAGAACGCATTAATTTTTCAGCCCAACAGAGTATATTTTTTACTGATTGACATTACTTTCATAAACTGAATCTGATTTTTTCAGCACAAAAAATTTCGTTTTAAGGGTAGGGTTTCTCATGTAATTGAGATCTACAGTGTCATGTATGATAAAAATAGAATTCGAGTTGTGCAAATCCAAGATCACATGAATAACTACCAACCAACCCGATATTTTTTCCAATATACATCACCCCGTCTCCCAATATCACATAACCTCACGTGCCAATCTAACAAAGATAATTTTATATATAACAATATCGATATTGATTATTTCTTTATAATGCATCATTCTTATAAGATCATTGTATCATTAATCATTTAATCATTATGAGAACAATATATAAACAGTTCGTATGACACTAATTCGCCATAATTCTGCTAAAAACCTTATCCAGCTAACAATTTGGTGCCCCTTGATGAAAGATTCAATGAGTAGAATCAAAGCAATAACGAAGCTGGCGATGGTGAAAGAAGGAATCACCGAGTACAAGCAAAAAATGCATATCCTAATCTGACAATTCAAGATATATAATAACAAAAGAAACTGGCAAACAAAGAACCCACAAAATCAACCTCGAAAATAATGAACCACAAAGAAAGAATATAAACTTAAACTGGGAGACGAGATAGCGCAAGGCATGATTTCGCATACAATGAAAATCAACGGCTGATTTTTGTGAATGGCAACTTTGCGGAGCAATATTTCCACGACCACTAGGTGAAATCAAACAAAAAGATATACATAGTGAACCGCATAAGAAAATGGAACACGAAAAAAAATTTTGCATAGAACAAGTAAATTACAATTTGCAGCAAGAAGAGGTTGTAATCTATGCCGTCACCTGGCCCGAATCCTTCAAAACAATTCCAAGGTGCTATCACAGAGCGTAAGTTGCAACCAAATTTTAATTGGCGAAGGCGAGCAAATTAAAATATTAAACTCGAGGACGACCACGTATCGAATGACTTATCCAACGAATCGGCTAGTTCTTCCTGGTTGACGAAATCGTGCCGAAATTAACCAATTGCCAGACAAATGATTCGTTGGTGACTAATTCGACCCGACCAATAACTGGAAAAGCCGAAAAGAACATATCTTTGTAAATTTTCATTAGGTCAATTGACAAATTTTTGTGTTGCACCACATTTAGAACAAATAGAATTCATCTTCACTAACTTCTTTTTTTTTCACAAAACTCTTAACACGAAACACGCGTCCATGACATAGATAAACGTGAGGAAAGAAGTAATTCGAATAACTCCCCTTTCGCCACCAAAACGTATTGGAGCTCTGTTATCAAAAAGATATTGGACGCAAAAAGATGAGAAAAAAGCTTTTAACATGCTAATGTGGTCCTTTTCCTCATGGTTATCAAATAATATTCGCTCACGAGGATTATCGCGATTGTAAGTTAATCATTTGAATTGAAAACCTGTGTTTTTCTTTTTTTCGTCTCGTCTAATAAACTATCTCGCAAACTGTTATTTAAATCATATCCTTTTTGAACTCGCACAATTTTTCTTAATAAATTTGCTAATTTAAAAACATTATCAAGGTTATTTTCTGCTTGACTAAAAAAATAATTCTTTTCTTCTTCTGTATTAAAATCGGCAGAGGATGAATGACAATGTAAATTCGAAATGGCATTGGCGTACACAAAGATGGTAAAAAAGTATTCGAGAGGTATCGAAATTCAGCAAAGGGAGGATGGTACATGTATTTGAAATCATCAGATAGGAGATGCAATTGGGCAATTTAATTTTTGCCGCTGTTATAAACGGAATCGAAATATGATAATTAAAATTAGCAAAGGGTGGATAATATAATCTTGGTCACTACGTAGCTCTGATTACACCAAATGGTAAAGCAAAAAAGCGCACATGTGATTTGATTATAAACAACCTACAAACCCACATTAACTAATTTGGGGATATATTTATCAAAAAAGTATTAGAGACACGAGCATTTAAAAGCTAAATACCACTTTGATTGATCCAAAAAATGTTATATCGACAAATTGCCAAAAAATTTTCACAGTTATATATATTTTGCCGGCTTTAAAAATATTATACTATTAATGAATTGCAAAAAACCCAATAACTCTGGTTCCTCATCAGATGATGATTTACAAGGAATGATGCCAATTCTGTCTAATGTATTAATTCCACCTGTAATTCTTTTAACTAAAGAAGAAATGGTTCAACAACGATCTCTCAAAAGATCAAAGAAACATGAATCTGTATTGGACCTAATATCTAGCTCTTCAGCAGCATCTTCCTTAAACAAAATATTAAGCACAAAAATATCTAAAGAAATATCCAATAACAGAAGTAGCTCTCCGTCTCCATCTCTGTTTCCATTGTCATCGTCGTCTTCGTCTCCATCTCCATTTTCATCATCATCATCATCATCATTGTCATCGTCATCGTCATCTCCATCTCCTTCTCCTTCTCTGTCTTCATCGTCATCTCCATCTTCATCGTCATCTCCATCTTTGTCGTCATTATCTTCATCAATTGAAACACTCTATCTATATTTATCTCAAATTAATCCACCTTTATCAGCAAAATCTTTACCTCTAATTCAACCGTCAGAAAATCCTAAAAAAAGAAAATTCGAAATTGAACAGTTACATCCGGGTTTTAATTCACTTGCGCAAAAACATTCAGAACGCGTACAAAAAAAATTGAAATGTAAATTTCCCATATTAACTACACAGGAGGCTAAAGAACGATTAATTAAAGAAATGTCAACAATACCAACTATTGGTCTTTCAGATATTGCTTTAAAAATCCATGCAAGGTCACAGGATGGTGACAACTATACTCGGTCTCGACAAATTATGAACATTAAAAATCAAAATCAGCCAATGATAGTAATCAAGCCACCAATTTATAAGCAAAAAAAACAGCCTTCTTGTAGTTTTGATGAGTTTAAAAAAAAGTGTATCCACATGCTCAGGGGTCGGTTCTCATTCCATTTGCAGTATATAATGTTCCAACCAGGGTTGAACCATATGTTCCAACCAGGGTTAAACCATATGTTCTTTCTCAAGAAGATGAACTCAAAGAATCAATCAAATCTTTGAAAGATGCTAAGTCTGATGATAATGATAATAACAATAAATCGACGTCATCATTATCAAAAAGAAAATATGGCAATGATGATGATAATGATAATAAAAATAACAAAAGAATTAAAAAAATATGGTTTGAGAAAATATTATCGACATCAAAATCGATGTCGAAAAGAAAATATGACAATGATGATGATAATAATAACAATAACAAAAGAATTAAAAAAATATCATCGACATTAACAACATCACCACTATCATCACCACCACTATCATCATCATTATCATTATTACCTTTGCCGATATTATCACCATCTTTGCCAACATTATCATCAGCTTTGCTGACATTATCATCACCTTTGCCAATATTATCACCACCACCTTTGCCAATATTATCACCACCATTATCATTAAAACTTTCACTATTATCTTCATCATCACCATTTTCGTCACCATTTTTATTATTATCATCATCTTCATCTTCATCATTGTCAGCATCTTTTTTTTCTACCATTTATGCCATCACGATCTCTGTTACCGCAAATTTATATAATGGATTTTATTATATAATAGCCAGATATTTCATTATATAATTTGTTGCATAATTCTTTGACGCTTTGAAATCTTGCTGATCTTTTGTCTTTTTTGGTTTGGATATGTTATGACTTATTGTATGGGTTGTATTAAAAATCAAATACAATTATATAATAATTGTGTTAATTTTTAATATACCTCCTGAGAAACAAGAGATAAAATTATAGATACATTTTCTATTAGTAAAGGTATAGTAACACTTCATCAACTCAAATTATCTTAGTTTAGTTAGATGAATAAAAATTAGATAAGATTTGAGGTATTGAGATAAATTGCAGATAACAATATATGCACATTATATATACATGGTAAGAAAGTATTTACTATATATATTCTTATTTTTAATATATAGTAATTATTAATTATTTTTTTTATATTTTTCTGAGAAGGATTCTAATTATATAAATTAGAATTCTTCTCAGATTAGATATATTATATTCTTGGAGTTGGAATAGGTTAATAGAAGGGTTCAGATTGGTTGAAGATGTTTGGCTGGTTAAAGAATTTATTTTTATTCATTTATCTAACATTAAGATAATTTGAGTTACGTTAAAGTTTTACTTTAACTTTACTAATTAGAAATGTATTTCAGTTTTATTTTTTTTTTCAGATACAATAGGTCAAACATGTTCAATATCTTAATTGACTTAAATCAGAAGACTTTAGCATTGAAGTTATAGCACTTTGTGATGATAGTGAATTTGTGACAGATTCAAGAAAAAAAGAAATAACTATTTTTATTATTCTTTATGAACTTTTGTATAATGATGACTTTCCTATCTCAGTTTCTTTTCTCTTATTCAACTTTTTTTTCCTTTATTTTTCTCTATTATTATATGTAAATAATTTTTATGCAATATT